TTTAAGGTCTACTACCGGTCCCTCCTCTGGGTTTGGTTTTTATCGTTTCCAATTCTTGGTTCTAGGTGGGTGTACTTCATCCGTGTGGACTTAGCTGGTGCCTCCCTTGGATGGCTGCTTGTTTTGGACAAGCCGTTAAGACCCCAGAAGTGATTTTTTCTGACAGCCAGGCTCCAACTGCTTTCGTCACTGCACATTGGCACATTGCTGTAGCACCCACATCTTCAGTGGTCACTTCATGGAGGCAGGCATTGAGCAGGGCCAGGTCATTAAACTAATTGTTCTTAGATTAGGACTCAATCATGTGTCTATGGTTTGTACACGTCTCTGACTCACTTTAAAAGTATCACTATTATTTTGTTGAAAGACATTATAAATTATCCTCCTGGGGCAGGTAGTAGTTCTATTGCTATTATCATTAATCCGGCCAATGATATCAAATTTAAAACACTGTCGAGAAGAAGAGAATATACATGTGTAGGACAGTGTTTTAGACCAAAATACCTGGAATGTTGATATGTACAGATTAACAATTTATGTGGCTGGATGCTATTTACAAAAATAGTGAGGATCAGCGATAAGGTAAAACTTTCAAAAATGTTCATTCACCAAGGCAGAACTGGAGTAAGCATGTCATAAAAATAGCACATATGTGGTGTCTTGTGTTGCCACTTATTGGGCAGCCTCAAGGCAAGAATTTTGAACTAAAGTCCAATGACTTCCACATCTGTAGCCTGGGGGGATAGTCATTGTCTGCTTCTTCTCACTCAGGGGCATTTCAGCTGAAGGGAGTAATTTCAGTTCCTGTAAGTTACCATCTACCGCTGTATTTAGGGTAAAGTCCAGTTTGCATAGTGGGGGCTCCAAACTGGATCCTCTGGTGTGGCCTATGAAGGATATTGTGCAGCTAGAAAGGAGAGAATATAACGTCCTAGTTGTCTATATTGCACCAGGCCTGGGTCACCCAGGACCGAATAAAAGCGAGGTCAAAAGGACCCAATTAGGGGCATGGTACTGAGCCTATTTGCCTACCTGTGGTCTAAATATGAAAAAATGTTGAACGTTTTTCCTAATGGCAGGCTCCCCACGTGGTTTATCCAGTGACTGCAGCTTACTCGCCTTCTCTGAGACAGACATGCCCTCCACCCTGCCACCTCTTGGCATGGATTCCCGCTAAGGCTCATGAATTGCTCTTGTAGGAGTGTCCATTAATTTGGGTGACCGTAGAATAATGTTATGTGGCAGGAACTTGTTAGTCTTCTCTCTCTCCCCCCAATCATGGGAAACAGGCCCAGCGGAGGTGAGAGCTCCCCTGTTGAAGTCGTTTTTAAGATGTACCAATAAACGGTTGTAGATGGTTCATGAGCACGAGGCAGGCACACTCCCTTGTTGCCTGGGTAACCAGAGTAGGAAATTAAATGAGCCGTGTGTCAGTCTGGGTAGACTAGTGAGTTAGTTAAAGTGTATTGTGCCAACCTGGCCGATAAACACATGTGGGGTTAATTGAAGGGCAGAGAGATAAATGACTCAATAAGCCTTGCCTTTCTAGTTCTCAGGTCTCTTGCTTTCTGAGGGTCAGACCAGGGTGCAGCTGCCTTAGCCAGTTCCCTGCTTCAGCTGGAAAGCTCACTTCCTTTAAGACATCCCCAAGGAGAAGCCGCATGGACCTACCCCGATGCAGCCCTGGGTGCTGGAGCAACCATGTGGAGACCCCTGCCAGCGGAAATGCTTACATGTTCACTGATTTGGCTTTCCTCCTGTATATAGTAACCCTAAGCACATGTGAACTGGAACCCCAGTATATATATATATATACATTTTATGAGCCCTGGTGGCATAGGATACCGTTGGGCTGCTAACTACTGCAAGGTTAGCGGTTTGAAACCAGCAGCCTCTCCTCAGGAGAGAGAAGAGGCTTTCTGCTCTGGTAAAGACTTACAGTCTTGGAAGCCCACAGGGACAGTCCTTTGGGCCCTATGGGATAACTAGGAGTCAGAATCGGCTCAATGGCGTTGAGTTTGGTCTTGAGTTTTATACTAAGGTGACCAGATTTTAACATTAGTCAATGGGACAAAAGCGGGACACCATTGATAAAACTCACACCCTGGCAACATGGCAGCCAAAAACCATAGACCCTAGCTTGTCATGCATTCTTTCCAAAAATCGGGACTTTTTTAAAACGTCGCGGGACACAGGAAAAATTGTTAAAAATTGGGACTGCCCCGCCAAAAGCGGGACGTCTGGTCACCTTAGTTTTAGACACATTACATACATGCTGTTGTGGAAGCAAAGTCTGGTCTGATTGTATGCAGATCGTCTTTAACTTATTCTTTTGGCCTAAAGGTATGTTAGGAGTATGTCACATCTTCATCATCTACTTCATTTGAAAATTGGCTGTATAGTGCCCCACACTGCGGGGGAGCACATTGATTTCAACTTTCTTTGTTGAAGAGCATTTAGACCTCTCCCTGGTCTGAAGAGTCCATACCCTGACGTTGCATTCCTGGGCTATAGGACAAGTGCACTGCCAGTGCTGATGGGGCTGACTAGCCTAGAGCGAACCTGGGCCAGCTCCCATCATTTCACATCAGGTGGCGAGCCTGTGCCCAGAGTTCTCCAAGCTACCGGCCTTCTCCCTTGTCCTGTCCTCTGTCCACATCTGGTGAGAGCAGGGCATCTCCCCTCCCGCTCCCCAGTGAATCTTGTGTGTCTATGGAAGGAATGGGAGGGGTGGTCCTGCCCTCCGGGTACTTTCTCCTGGTGGGAAGAGGTAGCAGTATTGAGGGAGGTGAATGAGTTCCCAAGGCTGCCAGGAAAACTAGGAGGGGGCTTCCAAAAGCTCTGTGATCTCTTAACTCACATTTCTCCCATACACCTTGTGAAGGCCCTCTGGAATGTCCTAGCCAGTGGTAGGAACATGAGTCAGGATGGAAGCCTTGCCTTAGTGTCCCAGAGCAGAGACGGTGAGTCAGGTACTAACCATGCAATGGCTTAGGAGGTTGGACAAGAAGGTCCATAGCAACGCATGCTGGCGGGATACCACTGCTTTGAAATTCCAAAGAGCTGTAAGAGTCCCAAGGTGCAGGCCCTTGGGTCCTATGGGACTCCAACAAAGCTTCCTGGGAAAGGGGCTCTTTTGCCGGCAGGGAGGAGCAGCAAGCAGGCCTGACCCTCCTTTTACCTTCTTTGGGCGTGCACTCTTTGGGTTTTTCTGTACAGCCCCCTCCTCAGTTTGCCCAAAGCATGTACCTTAAATCGAAGTGGGGGGAATGTATTTAAAAGAAACACAAAGCTAGTTAATTTTAAGATCTGAAAAGACTCCATCAAACCCTCCCCAATCCCCATTTTCTTGCTTCTGAGCAGTAAAGGCAAGAATCCAAAGGGTCCTACTTTTCTTCCATTTTGGGCTGAAAGGGCTGAGGAGCTGAGATCACACCTGTGGACGCCAGTATCTGATAGACACACCGCCTTGTCTTGTCAAACCACTAGGATTTCCTGAGCGCATGTGCTCTCTTTTGTCACATGATTCCTGAAAGCAAGACACTCAGGGGACCCTCCCGAGGCCCCATGAACCCTCAGGAGGCCTTGTCATTCCCCAGAGAGGCCAGAGGAAACAGGCCCAGGGAGGGAAGAGGGTTGCTTGAATTCAGACAACTCAGATGATCTGAGTTCTGTTAGTTCCGCAGCTTTCTTTTGGTGACTTGACAGCCGTGTGTGTGTGTGCAGGAGACTGCTGAGCTCTGGGCAAACCTGCTTGGCCAGTGGAGGCAAATACCGGGACCCACGGCCAACTGTCTCTGCCGAAAAAGCCCAGGCTCAGGAACATTGAATCCTTTTTAAAGAGTGGTCCCCAACTTGCTCAGGTGAGGAAGGTAGTCAGGACACCACCTTGGTTCCTTTTTCAGCCCAAGTCTGAAAACACCATCTTTGGGTTCCAGGTGCAGGTACGTTGGTCCATTTGCAACCTCTTCCGCGTTTGCTCTGCACCCGCCAGTCTTTTGAATTGAAGTGCTGGGTGGATGCTGGGTACACTGTTCTAAGGAACACAAGCCCTCCATTGAATCATGGAGAGTCAGTTCATCTGGAGAGTCTCAGATCAGAATGCTCAGGTAGATCAACTGGGGTAAAAACAAGAAAAAAAAAAAGCAGTTGCTTGCTTTTCCTTTTAGCTTTGAGGCTGAAGACAGAAAGCATTGTCTTTCATAGACTAAAAATCTTTTTTTTTTAAATATGCTTCTCCTGAACGGGCCCAGCTGTTTAAGGCTCAGCTGCGTTGCCAGCACTTGGTGTTCCCGGCGGGAGAAGGCGCAGGAACCTCTGTTTAAGGCCTCGTCGACGTGCGGCGTCTCCTAGCCCCACCATCCCCGAAAGCGTTCCCACCGGGATCCGGGCGTCCTGAGCAACCTGGAGGGTGCGTGCAGTCCGCGCCCAGAGGGCGCTGCAGACTCGCGCCCGGGCCCGGGAGCGAACTACCGCCCCTTCCCGTCCCTCTCCGAGGCAGCGCTTCAGTACCCGGGGCCGGGGCGCACCCCCACCTCCATCGCCGCCGGACAGCGGCGTTAAAGCGCGCCCATCTGTGGCTAGGAGCGAAACCATTACAGAGCGGAGCGAAGTTCTGGCCGGCGCAGGAGGGGGCGTGGCCGAAGGACGGGGGCGGGGCGGAGAAACGGGGCGGGGCTTGGGGCCGGCCGCCAGACCTGGCGGAGCTGGGGGTGGAGGGGCTAGTTTTTGCAACGGCGAAGGGCCCGTGAGTTTATTATAAGGCGGAGCTCGGCTGGAGAGGTGCGGGCTGGAGCCGAGCCCGGCAGAGAGGAGTCCCGCTGGAGATCCAGTCCGAAGAGCCCTCGCCTAGACCAGCCGCGCGCGGGGCAGGAGCCCGAGGAGGACCCGCAGCGCAGGCGGCGGAGCGGGGCCCGGAGCCCGGAGCCCAGAGCCGTCCGAGCAGCGCCGCGCAGCCGCGATCCGCGCAGCCCGCGCAGCCCCTGCCGCCGCCGGCCTGGGCAGCATGAGGTGCGCGGCGTTCTGGCTCTGGTTCTGCGCGCTGGCGCTGCGCCTGCAGCCAGCCCCCGCGGTGAGTGCGGCCCCGCGCCGGTCTGCGAGTTGGCGGAGAGCGGGGAGCCGCGAGTCCCACGGCGGCACGTGGAGGGGGAGGGGCAGCGAGGGGACTTCTTCCCGCGCTAGCGCGGCCCGGCCCGGGGAGCGGGAGGGAGCGGCTGGAAACCAGGGGCTCGCCCCGCACGTCGGTGGGCGCCGCGCCCGTGCTGCGGCGAGGGGCGCCCCGGGGAGCGGAGCCTGAGTGGGCTCCGCGCTCAACTATGCAAAATGCCTCCACTCCTCCGGAGCCCCCCGGCCTGCGGCGGCCCGGGCGCCTGCTCCCTCCTGCGTCCGCCCCGAGCACCGCGGCGCTCCGCTCCCCGCCTCCGCTGGAGACTTGGGAGGAAGAAGTGGCCGCGGCCACCAGCCCTGGCTCGCAGACCCTAATTCAAACCAGATCCGCGCCCTCGCGCCTTCCAGCG